GATAGATAGATAGATAGATAGATAGATAGATAGATAGATTGATAGATAGATATAAGGCGAAAACAATACAGCATGCCAAACGACAAACTGCTGTCTTTGTGTAGTCTCTGTGAGTCATAATGATATTTATGTCATTAACACTGACTTTAGGGGGCGGCTTGCACACATATGTTCAGGATATATAAACTGCAGTCACAAAGTAATAATACTAAATCGATTTTACCTGTAACAAGGAGTGTGTTGTTTTCAATGTCTTTTTCTGTCCTGTCTTTCCCTTGTCTACTTTCTATTATTAAAAAGCAAAGGACAACGCTGTTAGCGCCTCAAGTATATGGTTCTAGACTTATTTTTGAACCCTTAGGCAGAGGATGACTGATGTTAATTATGCCACATCACCCATCCTTTCATCCCAAGACGTTTTTCTTCGTTCCAGTTTTAAACTGGGTCAACCTGGAAGCAATTTCTACAAATATCACCCGGAAGGGAATCCGAAACAAAGACCTTCTTTTGGGCTGTGTAAAGTCAAGTGTGTAGCCACAGTCCTGTGTCGGCTTTCTCTGCACTATTGTGCATTATTTGTCTTGAATATTTATCCTTATATATTCTAATTTATCTATGTATCAATCCTGATATATGAAAGTGAATCATGGACAGTTTGTCGATAAGTTGAAAATTGTTTGGAACCGGCGGAGATGTCATTTTTTTAAATAACGAATGATGGGAATGGCTTCAACAGATGTAAGAGTAGTAAAGATGTCTTGAAAGATTTGACGCGCGAAGAGAACTGATTGCCCATTAAAAGGCGACGATTTACATTCATTGGTTCTTAAGAAGGAGCGAGTAAACTGGAGTACAATGTGACAGTAGGACAGCTGAAAGGTTTAAAAGAAGGCAGAAAGAGGCCGAGAGAGAAGCTGCTGGACAATTAAACATCATGGCATGGAAATCCAACCGTGTCAGAACTGACTGAATGTAGACCAATAGAAGGATTCTTAATAGACATGGCCACCAAAGCCACACGGCATGGACTTGTTTGCTGGCCAGAAGGTCTCAGGTACTTAACGCACTCAGGCGGCTTTTATAAATGATTAGATCTCGCACCAAATGGGTTCCATGAAATTTCATGGGAACTAAAGATTATGTCACTGATAATGTGGACAGTTCAATCAAAAGCAACAATCTAGGAGAATATGACCGAGGCCCCGATGTCATGAAAACGGTCCTTTGCTTCTGCTAGGCTACGCAGTTTAACAGGCGATGTGTTTTCATACCAGATATGAATTCTAATCTCGCCAGTAAAGGCTCAGCGTTGAAGATGTTTTACTCCGACAAATGCAGAAGTATTGTAATCAGGTGACAAAACATCACGGTCTGGATATCATTTGCAAGAAGGAATGTTTTTGTTAGACACAGTGAAGAGGAAGACGGTATTAAAAAAGGAATACACATTTTTCACAAAACAGGAGAAACAATATCTAAAACCTGTAAAGCTACACTTTGTTTAGTCTGGAAGAAAAAAAATGTGAATACATAAATATAAACGCATGTTTTTGGCTAAGATAAAGGCATGCCATTAGCAAATATTGTCACTAGAATGTGAACAGCTATTCCACCACGTTAATCCGTCACTGCAAATTTCGCATTCCCCTGAGTGCTCAGCCTCCGACACAGCGGCAGATCTTAGGTCGCGCCACTGATTTTTCCAATAAGGAAGTCGTCATAACCTCTCCTATATCGGTCTCAAAGACAGCACATACATGCTTCACCGTGTTTTACTCCCAGGTCACGCAGTCGTTTTAGTATCAGTGATTCGTCATTATCTACAGTTTGTACATCGCTGATGAGTCTGCTCCGACCACGTTTCTGCCCGCATGCTTGATACATTGCAAGCCAGCTGGTTCGATCGTTCATAAGTTTTCACGCCTGGATGACCAGGTGTTTAGATCCTTCACTTGTTCTAATATTTCTTCTAGATCCTTCACATATTCTAATATTTCTTCTAGACCATCACATATTAAAATATTTCTTCCACATAACTCAAATATTCAAATATTTCTTATAGACCATCAAATAGTATAACATTTCTTCCAGGCCCTTCACATATTCTAATATTTCTTATAGACCATCAAATATAATAATATTTGTTCCAGCTTTTTACATATTCTAATATTTCCTCTAGACCATAAAATATCAAAATATTTCTTCCAGGCCCTTCACATTTTCAATCACTTTTTCCAGGCCCTTCACATATTCTGTGTCTTCCAGGCCCTTCACATTTTCTATTACTTCTTCTTCTTCTTCTTCTTCTTCGTTCACTGGCTGTGAATTCCGGCGGAAGGTCCCGGTTAATCGTCCGCTTGGACTTTTGGC